ACATGTTTGCTTAAGATACACAGTGGGGTTGATTTACTAAAGGAGCAAAGTGAACTTTCACATTAGAAAATCTATGTTCACTTGCAATATGAAGAATCATATAACTTAGAGAATGAGGTAAGGCTGTGTTCACTTCAATCATCTGATAATATGCCAATAATAATCTTGTTATCTTTTCCCACTTGTACTTGATTGGGTTTTCAAAGTAAAGCAGAGCAGAGAGGAGCTGGAGATGAGGACAAGTATAAGCGAGCAAGGATGTCTAGGACACACATGACACATATGAATTATGAGATCCAGGATGATATATCCCTAACCAAAATGAATTAACAAATATTCCCTCGATTACCGGGGCCCTTAGATGGGGGCTCCTGTTCCCCTTCTGGTTGTCTCTGTGCACTCCTCGTCATTGGCATCTTTGAGCTGACTGTTTTTTTCTCTCCCAAATGTGTGGCTTCCCCTGCCATCAATTGTCCATCAAATGATTATTAGTTGTCTCAAGTTAGCTCCTTTTCCTGAGGAAATGCGTTTAAGATTGGGCAACTCTAAATCTACCTGCAATTAATGAATAATCATGCACAGTAGTCTGAACGCTCTTGTTTGAGTTAATATGAGAGGTCCAATGAGGTATCCCTTATGTTATTAGGGACAACTTTATACATTGTACAATTGATGAACTATACATTATTCCTTACGTAATGTTTTAAATTTGTTGTTTGTATACAAGACATTGAATACATTTATGTTTTTATGTATTATGGTGTGGTGGGGCACCTTAAAAGCCCCGTTCAAACAAATATCAGTTTATTGGCTTTTCAATGTGGTCATAAGTGAATATCTACCTTGCAGAGTGTACATACAGTTTTGAAAGTGAACAATTATCTACTTTTTTTTTTTAGGTCCATTGGTAAAGACCTGTAACATGTCCATATTCTTCTTAAAACTGAAGAAAATAATACCATTAAAAAAAAGCTTACATTCACTAACATCTGAGGTTTGAAGTCTCATAGGATTTCATTTTTGTGGGGCCTAGGGGAAACTAACTGTACTTTAACTCACTGCTTCCCAAACACCAGGCTGAAATAATTCTGAGATAATATTACAGATTTGTGCACAGCTTTGCATTAATATATCAGCGTTCTAAGAGAGTATCTCAGAGTTATTTTGTTGGTGCGAGAGCTCCTCCACAGTACCACTATACTAACAAAAGACCACTATACTAACAAAAGAAAGCTGCTACATCATTGAAAAAGTCTCACCCGCTGTATGGATGCAATAGAGAGTTAAGTGATTTTTGAAGTCTCAAATGTCTATATTAGCATAATTATCAATAAGCTGCTAGTGCATTTTTATTAGGTGGGAATGACATTTATAATCACTGCAGATCCTGCACAAAGGTTGATATTTTTTCTTTATCGATTCTGGAGGCTTGTTAAATAGCTAATTACATACCCCAGGGTGAACTTTTAAAGAAAGTAAAACTAAACATTTGAAAAAGCAATATAAATTGCAAACATTCTTTGAATTGCTAATGATGCCAAAAAATAAAGGAGAATTTGATGGGATCATTCCTCTATTGTCAGCTTGCTAAAAGGAAAGCTTTATAGAGAAAAACATGTAGAAAGATATGTAGGTTGCCATTGCTGACCTGCTTCTGACCTGGCTGTCGTGGTGCTTTAGTGTTTGCCAGTAACTTCTGGCTTCATTTCCACCATATTGGTTCTTGGTCAGTGACTTTGAAAGTATTGAAACCATAGACAGCCAAGCAACCAGCATTTTAAGCAGCAGGCTAGAGATGGAAGCCTACATATCACTCAGGACAGGTTTCCTTTCAGAGTATCTCTATCAATCTATTATTGTCACTTGCAAGAGTAGTAAGAAAGAAGCTAGTATTTTAATATGTGAGAATGCAAGAAACTGCACACTGATAGAAAACTGTATTAAAAGGTGTTTTTTGGATGGAAATATACCTCAAGTACTCACTAAGACACATAGACTACGGTTTTGCTATGGGTTTATTATGTCCCTAAAAAGTTTCTCGGCAACATGAAAGAATCTCACCATCTACCATGTTCTAAAAAAAACATTATCGGTTCACAAAATCTAGTTTTAGAAAGGGCACTTTACTAAAATTAGGTATCCAAGGCTATATTTACCATTAGGTATAGTACGCCTGTACCTATAGGTGGCAAAGGAAGATTTCCCACTGCATAGTTGTAACACAAAAAGAGAAATCGTAGGTGACTAAAGGCTTGTTCACACATTTGTCATTTGTCAACCATTGAACTCACCTGAAATTCTAAAATAATATTTTTAGGAGTGTATAGTGTTCAGCTAAGCCTGATTCTACCCTGTTTAGTATAGTAATGCAAACAGCCAAAATGCTATGCAAAAGACTAATAAGAGTTTAATATACTGATTACAGACTACTTATCAATCACATGTGATTGCTGCTTAGGGTCAGGAGGATATTTTATAAGCTGCTTTTTTCTTTACTGTGTTAAGTAAGAATGATTGAAGATACTTATTGAAGATACTTGCTTATACTGAGCACAAAGGAACCATGAGTATATTCAGAGAGGGTGGATGCTGTGACAGATGCTTTTAGTGAGATCCATAATAAACATCTGGGACAAAATAAATAGATGTACATGTATTATACTGCAAGAATTGCCGTTTTTATAACCTTGAACTTCCTACCCTATGCTATATAGTTACATTAAACCAATCTTTCAGCACACCTATGCCTCATAACAGAAGCTATAAAAGAAGAGATTCCTAAATACTAACATCTTTATCATGTATTGCTGTCAAAACTCATCATCTTTGATAGAGGAAAGTAACAATCAGATCTCCAGAGAGACAAGTGTGACTGACAAATCATTTTAATATGCAGACTAAACAAAATATATACACTCTCAATGATCCTACAGGCTCCTGAGCAATACATTTGATTGTTCTTGTAGCATGACACCAGACCGAAGACATTGTCAGAAGATGTTTTGCACACTGACCAACCCCACCTCAAAAATATATAAACAGGTTCTTTAGAGGATCATTGTGCCCAAAGTAGACATATTTATATATGGATAGGAATGTGTGAGCTTGGCCAGCAATTGACATCTAATAGCAATGACATCTCCACTTTGGAGCTCACTTATCTGGCTCCTTGCCACAGAATGGTCACAGTGAATAGGCTTATATCTCCTGTTGCATTCCATATAATGAATAGAGCATAATTAGTAAAGGAGAATGAAAAGGCCTTGTGATGGTCACTACAGGAAGTTGTTGGGTTAACCTGCTGATATTTACCCAAAGTTTTCATGTCCATTTTGGATATACTGACCCTATCAAAGGCATCTAACATACAGTGAGGAACATAATAATTTGATCCCCTACAGAGAAATGGAAGGTCTATAATTTTTATCGTAGGTGTATTTTCAACAATAGAGAGAATATCAACCAAAAATGCAGAAAAAAACACATGATCCAAATATTGTTATAAATTGAGTTGCAGTTCAGTGAGTAAAATACGCAATTGATCCCCTACCAACCAACAATAATTCTGGCTCCCACAGACTGGTTATGTGGTACACAGATTAGTTCTGTCAATTTAAGAAGGTGCTCCTAACGACAACTCGTTATGTATATAAAAGACACCTGACCACAGAATCTCTTTCTTCCACTCAAACCTCACCACCATGGGAAAGACCAAAGAGCTGTCAAAGGACATTAGGGACAAGATTGTAGACCTGCACAAGGCTGTAATGGGCTACAAGACTATCAGCAAGAAGCTTTGTGAGAAGGAAACAACTGTTGGAGCGATTATTTGCAAATGGAAGGAATACAAAATAACCATCAATCGCCCTCGGTCTGGAGCTCCATTCAAGCTTTTGCCTCATGGGGTAAGGATGATCATGAGAAAAGTGAGGGATCAGCCCAGAACTACACGGGAGGATCTTATGAATGATCTCAAGACAGTTGGGACCACAGTAACCAAACAAACCATTGGTAACACAATACACCGCCATGGATTGAGATTCTGCAGCGCCCGCAAGGTCCCCCTCCTCATGAAGGCACATGTACAGGCCCCTCTGAAGTTTGCCAATGAACATCTAAATGATTCAGAGAAGGATTGGGAGAAAGTGCTGCGGACAGATGAGACCAAAATTCAAAAATTGGGCTCTTTGGCATTAACTCGACTTGCAGTGTTTGGAGGAAGAAAAATGCTGACTATGACCCTAAGAACACCATCCCTGTCAAGCATGGATGACCCAGTCAAGCACGGAGGTGGAAACATTATGCTTTGGGGATGTTTCTCTGCTAAAGGTACAGGTCGACTGTACAGCATTGAGGGGCCAATGGACGGGGCCATGTATTGTAAAATCTTGGATGAGAACCTCCTTCCCTTAGCCAGAACACTGAAGATGGGTCGTGGATGGGTCTTTCAGCATGACAATGACCCAAAACATACTGCCAAGGCAACAAAGCAGTGGCTCAAGAAGAATCACATTAAGGTCATGGAGTGGCCTAGCCAGTCTCCAGACCTTAATCCTATAGAAAAGTTATGGAGGGAGCTGAAACTTCCAGTTGCCAAGCGACAGCCAAGAAACCTTAATGATTTAGAGAAGATCTGTAAAGAAGAGTGGACCAAAATCCCTCCTGAGATGTGTGCAAACCTGGTAACCAACTACAAGAAATATCTTACCTATGTGCTTGACAACAAGGGTTTCTCCACCAAGTATTAAGTCATGTTTTGCTTGGGGATCAAACACTTATTTTACTCACTAAACTGCAATTCAATTTTAACATTTGTATCATGTGTTTTTTCAAACTTACAAAATCTGCAGGGGATCAAATAATTATTTTCCACACTGTATAAATATATTTACAATAACGTTCCTTACAGTGTATTGCCAGATTTTGGAAACCATTATTCTGTTAACTAATGAAAAAATATCTTAAATGCATAATAGAGTCAGTTCTACATTGTGCGGTACCTCATATGATCCAGGACCAGGTGTAACTTCTTTTGGGTCTTTAAAACGTTCTTCTTTGGGAACAGAAGATGGAGTTTGAATGACTGGTTTCATGACTGGATTATAGGCTCCAGGCCCTGAAGGCAAGAAAAGTAATTATATATTGATGAATTAATAAATAATGCATATTACAGGTACAAGCTATTCATGAAATGCAGAAAAATCAGATGTGTTAGTAATGTCCTTCTGAATGTTTAGGGTGAGAGTAATGGCTTTTTCACACCACTGAAGTGCGTTTCTCATAACTAATGAACATGCAGACAGCATTACAGGTAAAAATAAATGAAAGCAATCAGAATATGTTACCAAAGCAGGATTAGCAATGGACATTCCATTAAGATCAAGGAATCTGTTCTTGAGGTAAGTGCACTATGCAAAGTACATGTGCTTTTATATTCCAAGTATTAAAAGAAACCAGTCATGAGAGAAAGGTAGTGAATGCCAATGCTGGCCTCTCCTTCTGATATGCTAGTTGCCTGGCTGTCTTGCTGACCCTTTGGTGGTAATACTTTGATTAGTTGACCTGGAACAAATATGCTGATAAAGACTCCTGACTTGACTGATCTGCATGTGTGATCCAGATCAATGAACAAGGAAGTACTGATCACAGTGAATCTGCATAGCAGCCAGTTAAGGAGGTCAGATATTGTATTTTCCATATAACTCCTACCCAGGTTTGGGTCAATGTTTAAAGTCTAAAGTCAAAAGTTTGCATCACACCACATATCACAGTTCTATAATGGGACTCTAGTAAGAAAATGGAGTAGTGATAATTTACCAGTTATATGTATTTACTTGTTTTTCTTCTGCTGTTGCATGTTCTTTTTGTGTTCCCATAGTTCTGTGTTTCTGTTTTACACTAGCTAAGGCTTTCCTTTAAAGAGGAAGCTGGTAGTGCTGTACAGCTCCAATCCCCGTGGTTCACAAAGTCCTTATCAGAGCCTATGCATTACATGTCTTATACTGACACATGTGACAGTGTTTACAGTTTCTGGTTGGCTGCATGTTATGAACACGCTGTGAGCCACAAGTTTGGATCTGTGTACTATTGCCTGGCTCCTGGTCAAAAGTCATTCATTTACGTTGTGAAAAGAAGCCACGCGATGTAGAAGAAGTGACTCCCACCCCAGCAACCCCCACTAGTGCAGCAACCAAGGCAGGTACCTTTGAAGCCTCTGCCTCAGTCCTGCCTGTTGGAGACATTTCCCTTAATTTCCTGTTCTGGATACACAACAGGAAGTGAGTACAAATCTCTCCAAAGTGAAAACTCCCTCTTAGACAGTTGTCACCCAAACAAGTGACAATTGTAAAAGGTTACAATATCCTATCAATGCCTGTCTTGGTGACAATGGTCACTGGGACAAATAGAGAGGGTGAATCTCCCCAGTGGAGAAACACTAATAAGAACCTGACAAAGGTTTGAAAAATTCCTAATTCTACCCAAAGGCAAAATAAAACAAAAAAACTTTTGGCTTTAGATATACATTACAACCTTGCATTTACTAAACATAAGGACCATCTTCGAAATGGATATGGATACGAAATGGATACCATTGAACACAATAGAGGCACACAATGGTTTCCTTAACTGGCTCTGGGCAGACCTTTACAATAGATAGTTATGCAAAACAGGGAGACAGATATGAATGTAATTGACATGTTACTCACTATACATCTTCAATCACTGCTTACTGGAGTTATCCTTTATACATACATTTTCATGCATTTGGGGAAAAATACTTAAAGCAGGCTGAAATAGTTCCTAAAATCTACCTTTTAATTTCATAAGAGGCATGTAAATGATCTAAACACTCTAATGCTAATGTAAATGAACAGTGGACTTTGCTACAGACATTCTGTTTATGGCATTCTATATAGGGAACACTAAGAAATCACTTGTTGCCTCCTCTCTCCTGGTGCAATTAGATTTTTTCAGTCAAATTATTTTGTTTTTCAGGAAATACCTCTTTTGAGACTCAGTGATATACCGTATATACTCGAGTATAAGCCGTCCCGAGTATAAACCGAGGTACCTACTTTTACCCTTGATTGGTGAAAGATGTAGGTCATTCACGTCAAGGTCGAGGAAATGAAGGTGGACTCAAGGTAGATGCTGCAACTTCAAAGGGTTATATTGTGGAGTTGCAAGTTTGTAGGGAATTGCGATTATTCAGTTTAAACAGAGGAAATAGCTTGCTACAAGTGTGGGGAAAACAGGTAAAGCTGGAGTTCAGCTATAAATACCTCTGTCGTTGCCAATAAATAATCAGTGGAAAATCAGTTGTTTCTGCACCGTTTACTTGCATTTCAACACTTTATTTGCATTTCAACATGTCTGCAGAAATAGTTTCCAGCTGAATTAAGAGATGGGGGTTGATTTACTATAGGCAAGTTTGCAAGGGAATTATCCCATTGCACAGGAATTTTCCCCTAGCTTAGTTAATGTGGTAAAAATATATGCATCAGTATTTTGCTTGCACATGTATGGATGGTTGAAGTCAGTAGAGCTTCACCTCATTTACTAAGTTTAGGGACAATTTCCTTGCACAGTGAAAATCCATTTCAACATGAACAACCCATTTGCCTTTAGTAATTCAACCCTATGATCTCATGTATTTCATTGGCCCTCAACTTTAACTGGTCACCTGTTGTGATGGGTGATAAGAGGCACTAGCAGCAAACACCACACCACTTACCTCATTCTACGTCTCCACCCTGTTGGCATAAGCAGAAATGTTCAGCCAAGCAAAAGGTTTCCATTTATGGTCCAACTGGCCAATCCCGATGCTTAATTGTGGTTAGGTAGCACAAGCAAATCGTTCTGTCCTCTAATGCCTATGGACAGCCTTTTTCTAATTAGTGAAATGTTGGGTTTTCAAGGCCTATTTTGTTTGTAAAAGATTTCCTTGAAGTGAGATAATAAGACATGGCCTTGTACTGTGTTATGTACAGCTATACATAGTCAGTGTTACTATAGTAAACATGTTGCTGTTCTTAACTATTGTATAGTTACCACTTCAGCATTCAACTCAAACCGTTGTGTATTGAAAAAATAAAGAAAAGAAAAGAAAATATGGAATTATATTAAATCGTAACCAAGATCCCTAACTGACCTAAAAGCATTGACCTTCTTATACCTCTAGCATTTGCTACATATTTTATATGTATAATGCTGATTTTCCTATTGTTTGATCAGTAATAGAATTGTGAATAACTGAAAGGATGTGAAAGAAATCACATTAATCAGCTGAAAAACATCTGGCTAATAAGGTTGCAACGAATAACAAATATATAATCAATAAAAATAAAATATAGATACATTGCCTTCTCTATTACAGCTATCTGGTCAATTGAATCACTTTAAGTGGACCTGAACTCCAAAACCTAAGATCCATTATGATATGGAGAACATCTAGAAATGTTAATTGTGCCTAAGCAATAGCCTAAAAAATGTGGCTTTTGTCTTGAATTGCTTCTAAAAAATAGAAAACCACATCCTAGTATTTGAGTGTGCCTAAGTGAGTGCGTCTAAAGCCTTATAGTTGTTTATCTGTAGAGTGGGATCTAAGGAACAGCTACCTCTGACAGTTAGTCTCAGGAGATTTGTAAAGAGATTTGGTGATGTTAGTACTGTGCTGTCCTAGCTAGAGGCTATCCTAGCTAGAGGCTCTAATGTGTTAGAAAAAGCCATGCCTCTACCAAGATGGCTGCCTCCACAAAGAGACACCGTGCAGAACATGACATGGTAAGTCAATAATGCAAAGAGATCAGCTGTAGGTAGACCGCAAGCAATATTGGTGACAAGTCTTTTGCTTTCTGCCATTTGTGTGGACACAACTCCAAGAATTCAGTTCCTCATTTGGGGGAATTCATACACTAGAGTTGATAGTTTCCTGGTGTAGCTGTTTTTTAGTCAGATTGGATGACAGTCTGACGTCTCTGTGTGCTTTCCAGTGCTGCTGGTCTGCCACTGTCAGAAAATGAACTGTCAGACTGGCAAGCCCAATCTATCAATACTGAAGTGTCTTTTGCACTCTTTCACACTACCCCTACCACAGTCATTGAAATAAACTCAGCTCACCAGATCCATGGAGAGCTCAGCCGCAGTCTGTACAACTTTTGTCCTTAAGACAGACTAATCATGCATAATTTCTAACTGATCTCCTAAGACTGTGACCATGTTAAACATATTTACAAGTCTAGATTGTATACTGTAACATATGCTTGAGGTTACTTTCACTGTTAGTATCCTCAGCTACTTTAAAACACACACAGGGACCATGGGGAACAAAAGTAGCCACCCTCCAGAAGGAAGGCCAGTGTCAGCATGAATCCAGAGATGATTTGAGGATCTAAAGCTGAGTGATACACAAATGAGCTTTACTTTTAATGCATTTTTAAAATGTAACTCTTGACTTTAGAGCCATTTTAAACCGAAATATAAGTAGTGGTTATCCGTTTTTAATGCAAATAATGTGCTTTGCACAGTGAACCTTTGTATTATGATTCCCTGTCTCATGTAGACCAACTGTCAGTATAAAGCACAACTCCAGTCAAATATTTTTTTTTAAAGAGCGGTTTCAGGTTTTATTGTTATCTGTGTCCCAATGCAAGAGATTTTCCTTCTCACAGACAATCTGGTATATTTCTTTTGTAAATTAGGCCGCTAAGGGGGTCACACATAAAAGAAGATAGATAGAAAAGTGGAATGTTGCACCTTTATGTTTACATAATGTAATACAGTACATCAAACAGATACAGTAGCCTTTCCTGACCTTTTTAGCATAGAGTAAGCTTTGAAATAACTTTCAGATCTTAGGGAACCCCTGCTAATAAATATATCTACATCTCACAAGGCAATAACGTAAACAGTAATTTGTAGCTCTAAGAATATATAAAAGAATAAGGAAAAAGGCATACTTAGTGTATTTGAAACCCAGGGCTGCTCTATACAACAATATTTTAGGTAATAATACTGAAATTAAACAAATTATATTAATGGCCAGAAAAGAAACACAGACAGTGAAAATTGCAGTGCTTTCAAACATTGGTAGTCAGTGAAAAAATGACCCCTTAC